GGTTCCAGTTTTATAAAGTGCACTTCATGTTATAAATCATGAAATATTACAGGTGTTGCTCATTTTTCCACCCACTGGAAATTGGCATTTGAAGGATCATATTTCTGAAGTCTTATTTTTTAATACCTAATTTATTTATTCTTTTTGTGTGTTGCAAATGCATCTTAGACTTGTCATTGACAGCCTGTGTTCTCTCAGCTCCTGCCGTCAACACAGCAAAATTACTGTGCTATGGGGTTGAAGTTTTGAAGTTTACTTAAGATTAGGACATAACTCCTTGCATGTGATGCTGATCAAAAAAGTTTTAAATCACCACTTTAGCTGAGTATAAGATCTGTCTTCCTTACACCAGTCACCCACTTTTATAATCTCAGAGCTTTTTGTAATGAAAAATTATCAAGTAAGACCCTCAGTTCTGTTGCAGTAACTGAATGGGGACCAAGGCAGAAAAAAAAATTCAGTACAATTTTTTCTTTTTTCAGACTGTGACCTACATGAATAATGACCTACATGAATACTTACCTGCTTTTTCTTGATTTAATTTGTATCTGCCTGGCTGATGACAGGTTTTGTTTGCATGCACAAAAGCAACGTCACCATTCCAAAGTAAAATATATCTAATTTCTGAGATGTATTATAGAAAAAGGGAATTTTTCTAAGGCACGATAGGGTAGAGGAGCATATTCTAATTACTTAGCCCAGAGAGTCTGCATTGCATGTAAATCACAGAAGAATTTGGCCTATGGAGCCATGTTTATCTCTGGGAGAAAAATCTCATCTTCATCAATAATGCCAAACAAGCAGTGAGTGGGACCAAACTCTGCATGTGCGGAGGGTGTGTTCTCAGCCAATTTACTCATCTTTTAGGCACTATGTTGTAAGATATTATTAGGCTTCTACTACATAGGTAATCATGGAGGCTGTTTTTCTATGAGGTAAAGAAGCTGGCTGCCATCCAAGAATTTTTACTGCATTAAAAGAAAATTTGATGATAGTGCTAAAGTCACATTATCGGTATTGAGAGCATCCTGCCTAGGAGCACACAACACTATTTTAACAACTGTATCTGAAGCATCAACACCTTTAAACTCTTTTAAACTCTTTTACTTGGAAAGAGGTAGAAACAAAAGACCTTTTTTTTTTTTTTCTTGAAAGCTTTTCAGTTTAGTTTTCTTATTGTTATGTTTAGTGTTACCTAAGTGATGATAATGGTCTCAGAACATACAACTTAATGGGCACTAGCCAGAGCTGACTCTTGAGGAGAGGCAATAAATTATGTGTTGGACCAGATATATTCCTAACAGAGCAATACACCAATATATTTTCATACTGATGAGTAGGAAAACTTCCTAAATAATTGATTGAGACTACCTGATCATTGGGAGGTATATTTGTAGGGAAGACAGTAATTGCTTTCAATAGTATGGAAGTCACCTTGAAGAAAGCACCTTTGTATTCCACAGATCTATATGACTTAACTGTGTAGAAACCAAAAAGGAGAATGCAGCAAATTAGATCAAGAGAACAGAAATTTAAATCTTAGAAACTTAAAAAGCAAAGAAATCTAGTAAAAACCTAGCTTCCCTGAAATCAGCTGCAAAATTCTCGTTTACCCTGATGAAATTTTGCCTGAGAAATCTAGAGTTTATCTCAACTAGAATTTGAATTTAAAAGAAAATAAATCTAAGTAGACAAATTCAATGTTATTATAATGCAGAGCAATAATCTAAAATCTCTAACCTGATATGAAATGACTTGCTTTCCCATCCTCAGCCTTTTCTAGACCAATGCTGGCTTGAGGGGATTTGTTACACTTGGATGAAATATGTGATACAAAAAGCTAAATGAATCATGCAAAAAAAAAACCAGTGAAAGTGCTAGAAGGTGCAGAGGGAAAGATTGCATGTTGGAGAATTAAACAGAAAGGAGAATGGAAAGGACTCAGTTTTATACATGTAAAAATATCACCTGAAACAAAAACCTCCAGTTCTATAAAAACTTACTCCAGAGAATTTAGGAAAAACTAATTTTAAATTTAGGTTTTTTTAATAACCTTTTTTTTAAATAGAGGTTAATATCTGATCTATAGCTATTAATGATGAAAGTCTCATATTAAAAACCAGTACTGGGCCTGTGTATTCCTTAAATCTCACTTAAACATTGCAAATTAGGTGTGAGACAATAAAAGCTGTGCATTTTGTGAATAATGTCATAGAGCACATTTTCCAGTTTTTATAATGAGATTGAAATACAAGCAATTATTTTCTTCAAATGAGCAATGAAATGCTTTCTCCATAGGTCAACCATGTCCCATTGTTTTGTTATCACCTGCATGCTTTAGACAGATACTGAATTTCATATTCAGTTGCTAAACTGCATAGACTTTTTATACAGAGACTTGTCTGAATAAGGTTACATTTATATTCAAATGACAAGTTATGATTCATATTTTAAAATTTTGTTTGATAATACCAAATAGCCTGATTAGAAATATATCATTATGGGACATTATGTCAACCAAATCTTTTAGAGACAACAATGAGACTGCCTTTAATGTTTATCTTCAGTGAGGTCCAGAAACAGAGACTGAAGCCAAGCAGGATCATGCCGAGAATGGAAATTGGAGGAGTTGTCCTCATTTATAACAAACACGCCCAGCTGGGTGCACAGCTGCTAACTGAGGAGCCAAAGCTCCAGCTTCCTGCTGCCTTGGAAGGCCTAATTACAAAACCCAACTGCACTGGCTTTGAAAACTACAAACACAGGCTCAGGATTAGTTTAAGCGTAGTCTGGAATACTGTCAAGGTAAGACATCTAAAACATCATCATGTCACTAAGTAGGGATATTTTATACAGATCCAAAGGGCTATTAAGTGAAAATAAAGTGCTGCACTTCCTGGGGTACTTAACTTCAAAGTCCTAACTGACCCAGTTTGCCTGATCTCCTTTTACAATACCATTTGGAAAAAGAAAACAAAAACGAACACCATGCCAATCCACAGGTTCTTCTTCAAAATGGAAGTCCAACACATAAACAGAAAAAATGCCATTTTCAGTCCAATTTATTTAGCACATCTCATTAAATGAAGATCTAGAAAATCAGATAAAAATACAATGTACGAGTCCATCTTCCTTATTCTTGTTGTATAGTCCAATGTTATGGACTATACAACAAGAATAGGAAGATGGACTCGTACGTTGTATTTTTAGGAAATACAGGAAGCAAAACTGTCTTCATTGTATTTAGATATTATTGTAATTTCACCAAAGTTTTCTACATTTTCGAATATTTTAAGATAGTACAGGGAAAAGGTTTCATAAAAATTAAAAACTTAATTTACTTAGTGTCTAGTCACTTACCAACAATTGTGGACCAGCCATTCTAATAGGAGGACCACAACTGTAAAGTCTGCAAAAAGTTTGCTTTCTGTGCATCATAATAAATTTAACATGGGGCTTAATATCAGTCAATAAATCTGTATTTTAGATAAAAGTTGTCTCCCAGACTTGGTGTTAAATTACTTCATTTTACATTTCCTCTTTCTGATCATTTATTCTTTTTTTTTCATTTTTCCTAGTTTAGAATACTGTTTCTCATAAACACTTTAAAAGGAAAATTTCAATTATTTTACATATGTTGTACTGTACAAAAGAGTGGACAAACCAATTAAAATCCAAACGTCACTTAAAGATTATAATATGAACTGAATATATTTTGTCCTAAGAACAGATCCTGCATACATTCTTAAAAGATTGGTAAATATCAATTTATCAGTCAAGTTCAATTATAAAATTCATCAATCAAGTGATGACTGAATGGTGTAAGATGGTAACACAACAGGAGGATATGTGAAATAATGTGCAAGATTCTTTCTGCATTTCCTCTGATATCTGCCTTTCCTGTTCTCCCATTCTGCAACTTTATCTGCTGTTACTCCTTGCCTTACTCCCTTCCTGTCTTCTCTTCCTTAAGTTGCAGGGATCTTCCACTTTTCTATGAAGTGTCAGGAGACATTCCTTAGAAGCAACAGGTGAAAATTCCTTGTCTTAAAAAATTGGAGTAAGTTGTTGTAAGAAGGGGAAATCCTTCCTCTGTCTCCTCACTTCCTTTTGCACCTGCATGGAAAGGACGGTTGTCCCAGAAGAAGAAAATAAGTTTCTCTTTTCTTAGTACAGACTGATAACTTGATGACATATGAATTCAGAAAGGCTAAAAGCCTTCTCAGATACCTTTTGATGCTCTTTGGGATTGCCCTTTCTGGTATTTTACTAAACAGTGAGGCATGCAAAATTTCAAGGAAGGAGAGGAGAGTTTTCTACTTTCTTTGTCTCTTGGATTATTTTGATCACTTCTGAGTTCTTTGACTTCAACAGTCAGATGGTTCACTAGTACAAGACAGAAATCTCATAGGAATTCATGAAGTTCCATTGCCCACAATGTCAAAACTTTCGCATGACTTGTAACATGCTTTTCATGCTTTCTGCTCTTGGGCAGCTGCAGCAGAATATCACATTCAGACAAACGAAGGAAATGTTTGCATGCCAGAGTTCTGTTTAAATGAGATTCATATACCCCCAATCACATCCAAAGTATAGCTTGATCCATGTGGATTTTTGGTATGGGGATTTATAGTCAACATGGCTTTGAGAAATGGACAGCACTAATATAGTATCTTTACAGTGCTTATGTTGTTTTCATTCATGTTATATGATAAAGTCAGGGCAGACAACAACAAAAGTTCAGGCATTTGTCTTTCAGACAATTTAAACCCTTTGCTATAACTGTCACTTTTAGCCTCTCCAATCACAATTTTGTTTTCATTCCAAATCAGAGTTAAAGTCCAGGTACTTGTTTTAATTTGTGCAGCTATCATTGAAGGTTACAATTTTTTCTTCAGTCTGCTTCCCAGTGTGTTTTTCCTTTGTTACAGTAAATAAGAAAATAATTTTCTTAAACGCTGTTTTAACTTCATTTCTGCCCCATCTTCCCGTTCTTGCAGATGCTTCCTGCACGTTCTGGAGTGCATTCCTGCAGGTGCCTCCACTGCTCAACCTGGGACTCCTGGAGGCTGAACATGGCTGAAGAACATGTGGGGAAGCACCTCCAGACTCGAGCAGCTCTGATGAACAGCCTGGAAGTGAAAGACAAACTGTTAAATGAAGCAGACCATTATTTACCCTTCTTCTTAGATTTCTGCCATCATATTACATTAAAAGAGGTTTCAGGACTCAGGAGCAGATGCTGACCTGTGAGAATGCAAGACACAGATTTTATATGTATTTGCAAGTGTGTTGCATAGGATCAAAGCATAAAAACAAGTTTAATCTTTTTTAATTAATTTATCAGCTGCAAATCTGTTTTTTATGTGTATATAAAGATTCTATTATCTACACTCTAGGCATCAGCTTCCTAGTGATATTAATGAGATTGATGTAAACTTGTTGTGATGACATTTAGTTATAGAAAAACATGTTTCCAAGTAATGTAACAGTAGTTTTCTAGGACTAACATGTACCCTTTTTCATCAGTAGATGTGCTTATGGTTTACAGGAACACTAGCTAAATACAATTTAGTATTTATTGAACATACAACATGGACAATTCTTTTTTTCCTTAGTATTTTAATGACGTGGAAAAACTTAATTCTGATTACGTAATACAACTGTACCTCATTGAAATGTTCTCATATTGAAAATTTCCTTCTACAGAAATCAGAACTACAGATGTAAAGTGGCTGTTTTCAGTGACTCATCTGTTGCTACTGGTTTCTAAAACTGTCCATTTGTTATTATCTAGAGTTATAATTCCTTAACCACACCTTATATCTCTGTTGTTTTAAAGTTCTGCTAATTTAGAATCTTATTTTTTCTGTAGCTGGATAACTTTAAATTGTGCAGCAGGCTCAGATGAATTTTTACCTGTTGTTACCAACACAGTAATGGTATAGGAGGTAAAGAACTCAGGATTAGACCAAATCCTAACCATTCAGGTGTTCCTTGCTTATTTAATGCAGGAAATAACATCCTCACAAAATCCATTTTGTACCTGCTGCCAGATGATATTTCTCTGATTCATGGAGGAAAGTCCATGTCTTTTGTCCCCTCTTTCATACAGACACATTTATAGCAATCTTTCATCGTGTTCTTAACCAGAGGAAAATTCTTTACCAGAGGCAAAAAATGCAAGGCAGTGATTAAAAGTTGAAGTTATAGGGAGTAGTTCTTCGTTGATTCTAAGAAAGGTTGTTACAGCAGCCAAAAGACACACGCCTATACATCACAGAGCTGTGCCACATCTAGCAAAAGAAGCTTGATGCTGCCAGCTTCCTGGTAGAAATCCCTTTTAAATCACAATAAAAGACTAAATCCCTAGCATAATACTTTCTGAAAAGAAAAATACAGCCTGCCAGTATCCTGCCTTAGCTGGGAGGTAAGGAAGATTTCATTCACTGTTTATCAGTGTTTATGCCCATGCCCTTTCTGTACAGATGGAAATGTAGTGAAGCAGAAGCTATTTGGGAAATAGAAGCAGGCTGGCAAAGACTTACAGCAAGATATGAAAATAAAAGGCTCAGTACTATTTGTCAGAAATGGCAATGCAAACTAGCTCCATATCTGGAATGAAGGCTTCACTTTTTCAAGCACTGTTAGCTTGTGGGTTGTTTGTGGGCTTTTTCCACAATTTCTGGTCTTGAATACTTATAAATTTATAAGTGTTCTTAATCAAATGGCTGGTTTATATCTAAATTGCATAGGAATGGAAAGCTGACCAAGGAGGAAGAAAACTAAGATGTCAAATTACTGTGTCTGAAGGTTTGTTGAACTATTTTTAAGACTGTTTAATGTGCCAGAGTCATTGCTGGTTCTAGCATGTATTCTTCTGGCTCCTGTACTAAAAAAATGAGCTTGATGTCTCCTGAGGGACTGAATTATTTTTTTCCTATTAAATACAGGTTATCTCTGCAATCTTTCAGAAGTGTGTGTTTCAAAATATTGGAAACAAAAATTAAAATAATTAAATAATTATACTGAAACATACAGAGATACTTTTTCTTGAAGGCTAAACAAATCATGGATCCATAAAACAGGCAAGAAGAAAACCCTCAGACTCCTCTATATAGGTCTACAGTCTTGAAGTCAGTGCTTAGAAAAGGCAGCTAAGCTTGACAGGAAAGCAAGAAATGAAAGGAAATATATAGACATGCTCCAATCCCCAAGGTATTACCTTCTCTGCCCTTCCTCCACCCTGCCTGCACTGCCAGAAGGCTTACCCTTGTGCACTGCACTCTAGTGCTGATCCAGGACTCCAGCTGCTTTTTTCCAGAGGAAAGCCTACTGAAGAGAGGCTGCCTTTGCCCCTGGCACAGAAACTCTTCTCATCTGCATGGATAAAGTGAAGGGTTAAGCTGAAGTAGTTAAAGCAGTCATCTCATTTAATTTAAAACAAGATGAAAAGCAAAATGAACAGAGACTGAAGCATGTGGTTTAGAACAGAATATCCCTGGAGTCCCTTAAGCCCTTCACAACTAAAACATCATGACAGATTTTAGTATTTTGGAATCTCTCTCTTTCTCCTACTACTTCCAGAAAACCCTTGATGTTCCATATCAGGGAAAGTTTATAGGTAGTCTCATGCCTGAGAGTCTCATCCTGTCTCATGCCAGGATTATGTTCACTGGTATTATGCCAGTTTTCTAGCCACCTCCAGAGCAGCAGCTTGTTTTTTCTCTTAGTCAAGGATATTCTTTTAATGGCAAGAATAGTATGAAAAAAATACTGCAGTATTTTCTGTGGAGACCAGCCAAGGAAAAAAAAAAAAAAAGCTAATCAATTTAGTCTTCTTTTTATTTGTTCTTTATCTCAGTTCCTTGATATTTTCTTGTCCTGCACCAATTAAATTTTTTGCCAGACTTTTTTTTTCCCCCTTGAATAACTTCGTTTTTTTACTTTTAAGCCAGGTATCTTAAGCTTTATTTTTCTAGATTATTGGGGCATCCTCTCATTTCTCTTTTTTTGCTGTGGTGAATCAACCTTCACTATGCATCAGTGCAGTGTTTTATTCATAATACAGTGGCCACAATCTCTGGCTATCTGCTAAGATCATCAGTTTTAATACATCTCTTTTAAGTGATTTCTTCTTGCTGATCAAATAGATGGAAAATAATACCAGGTAATCAAAAGACAAAACCATTTGCAATCTGTATTTCAAATGAAATGAGAATTGCTAGTAAAGCACTTACTTTTGCGTGTCTAAAACTAAAAAAATTTTCATTAACATGGGAATATGAGGACAGCCAAGGATGAGCAATAATTCTGAATCAAACCTTTTCTGTAAAAATATTAGTTATTGCAAAAGAGTATAGCTATGATCCAACTTTGTCAATATATAGAAAGATATTATTAGGAACAGTAAAGATGTGGACCTTTGCCAAGATGTGCAAGATTAAATTTCCAAATCTTCTTCTCTTAGCTATCTTTAAGTACTCTGTTCTTTGTAAAATATATTTCTATGTATAATCCTGCACACAAGAGTGACCTGTGGCCTGAAAATTTTGGTCATTCTTTTTCTCAGAAAACTTTGAATAAACTACATTCTATTCAGCAGTGTATGTGTACATCTGCACTGTCCTTCACAGTATATGTAGAAACTAAGAATTTGTACCTTAAAGGCTAAAATAGAATCCAGAGAATTACCAGCGTCTCAGAGACATATAGTGACTTGGAATTTATCAGGTGAAGATTTCCAGGACATCAGTTAATGCTGCTTGCAAATACAGATGAATGCATCACATCATGTCTTTTAGAGTCCTCTCATAGGTAAATCTTCCATTTCCTTTTCACAGCAACAAGACATTGGCATCTTATCTGGTGGCATGCAATGAGTTATTTAATATGAAAGCAATTACTACTACTACTTCTCTTTCATTTTCATCAGAAAAGCACATTGTTTGTAGAAGAAATTCTTGCTTTAAGCCACTAAGTTCATGCCCTCACCTTTAATATTGTAAATTTTCAGGTTTGCTTCAGCCTAGGGCCAGATATTGAATACAATATTCCAGTCCTTCTCTAAAGTGAAAATATTCCTATCTGATGTCCTCACATTTTGTAGCAAAAATCGTGGAAGTACAATCAAAGTTACAATACAATCAGTATGACTTTTCTAATACAGATGAGATCTCCAAATGGGGAATTTTTATTGCTGCTTTCTTAATTGCTGCAGGGTTTTTATTCTCTTTAAAAACAGTGGCAACTGAATTCACCAACAGAAAACACTGTCACATATCAGGCTGATAGTTCTTTTCAAGTCTTCTTTCAAAATTTTCCCCTGTATTTATCAAAATTGGTAAAATTTCAAGATGAGCCATCCAAATAACTTTCTCACTACAGATGGCTTGCTGAAAGTGCTCATTTTTTCCTACATAACCCTTCTATGTGAGAAAGCCAAATCTGCCATAGTATTGAGGACCATGCTGGTCCCAGGTTTTGGTTGGGAATGGCACAAATAAATAGAAATTGTGAGAAGGCTTCTAAGAAGCACTGGGTTACAGGTGAAAAAATACAGCAACTCTTTGAAATATATAAAGTAATTCAAATAATATCCTAAACTCTCAAAACTTGTTAGCCTTCTTTAGCTATCTGAAAAGTTAATCCTGCTAAATCTCACATATGCCTGCAACCACATGCAGAGACTATAACAAAGTATAACACAGATTTTTCAAAATTTTTTTCCTCTGGGTTATTTTGCTTCTAGTATTATCTTTCACCTAGCATTTCTTTAGATTAGCACCTCTGGCGTAGTTTCTTTAGTGGTAACAACTGGGAGAGTGCTGTCTCAAGGTGGAAATAGTAGCCATTTAAATAACACACTGCTTACAGCTGCTTAGCACAAACCCAGGTAAGATAACATAGTGGTTAAATTCCCCATAGCTATTACAACTTGTCTGCATTTATGTTCCATTCTAAATGCTGAATAGAGTCCTCAGGACAAAGCTGAAATGTTCATTCTGTTGCTTAGATACTACTTTCACAGGCTTCATATGAAAAATCTGTGTATACAGGCAAATAAGCAGATAAGTTAATAGGCTGAACCCGCAATGGTCAAACATTAATCACTCCTTTTGTACTATCTTTTGTACTATATTTCAGTGTGGAAGAAACAGGTGTGGACTGCATAGTACACTAACACAATGCAAAATGAAAATATCCATGCTTTGCTGGGATGCCTCCTTCATGCATAGATATTTGGGGCCACTCTACCCTAATGAAACAAGTTACATGAATCTGCATTCATTTGACTTATATTTGTGTATTCTTGCTGTATAGGATACAGAAATGAATATCCTGTTTGTTTACTTATGCAAGAGTCACTTATAATTTGTGACATTGCAACAACAGATGAAAACCAAGATCATATCTTAAAGTTAGAAAATCACCTTTGTGACATACACTATGGGCTTTATTCCATAACTGGGAGGAGTAAAATTTGAAATGGTTCCAATATTCTATTCAGAATGCCCAAATTATATCTAGTGACAACTGCTTTACTAAAAATAGATGCTGTTCTGCATGAGCATTAGATTGGTTCCTACTATGCCATCTCCTCAGTAGAAGGAAAAAAAAAGAAAAAAAGAAAAAGCAATTTTGATATGTGTTCTGCTCTTCTAATTAATTTGTTAATTTTTTTTAGCACCAATAATTTATGACTTGGAGCAACATGCTCAACAAACTGGGTGTTATGTAAAAGCTGGCAGTTACAACATCACAATACAACAGCATTACCTATTATGTACTTACGGTGATACATACTAGTCTTGTGAAACACGCCACAAGTTATAAAGCATTTTGGAGCAAATCTATTCTGCTCTGCTCAGCAAAATGAAATTGCTGCACAAATTACTGGTTTTGCCTTTTGTTATATTTTTTTTTGTTAATCCCCTGCAAGATAAGTGTGTACTTTCATAGGCTCTGCATTAAGGAACAATTGTGAAAGCAACAGAGACAGAGCAGAATTAAATACCTAGATTTAATGCCCAGTGCCTCTTTGCTGGAGGGAAGAATAGATAGCAAAATAATTCTGAATTAGAAAACAGTTATGTTTTGTAAACAAATTTTCACTCCTTGAACTAGACTTAATTGGTTATTTAGTTCCGCCTTTAGCATTATTTTAATATCATTTCATCATTTAGTTCATATAATTACTGCAAAGATTAAAAAAAATCAGTCAAGATATTTAGAATGACAAATCAATCTATCTATCTGCATTAAATGTACTTTCCATCAGTTTCTACTATCAAAGACTATAAACTATAAGCTGCTAAGTACCCCTTCTGGTGCAACTTCAAGATGAATAATTGTGTATATATATAATTTTTTATTTTTCTGAACCTGAATTTTTTATCTGTCAGGGACATAGTAACTCCTGACAGAATTACTGGTCTTTAAAATTCTCCTGTAAAGAGTTATTGTAACAATAATGACATTCCTTACATTATATACTGTCTACAAAATTATCCTACAGTAGATTATAATTTTCCAGGCATGGGTTTTGGTGAGAGAGACTGAATTTTAATGATTGGTTTCTATGTTTGCTTTTATGAAATGAGCCATGCTCAAATATTATCATTATAAATATGCTTATTTAAAAAAAAAAACTTAATCTTCTCACCAAGAATCATGTCTCAGTAGAGGTGATTGGTTGTTTGGGTTCATTTTTCTTTAAAAGAATATTATTAGATACTGTATTTTTGTTAAATACCATGCTTGATTTTTTTCCTCAACTTTTCCCTGAAATGTATTTCCAAACTTTTTTTGTCTGCAGAAGTCATTGGTTATTTAACATCTATTTTCCACTAAAACCCAAGAAAACAAAATATATAAATCAAGAAAACAAAGAGACACAAGCATTTAACCAAATATTTTGACAATTTACAATCAAACAAAGTCATATTATGAATTTTCTGCTGTGAATCAGGTAACATTCTTTAGTTCCTTCCACCTGCATGACACAATATCTGCCCTCCTTTTTGCCTCCCAACAGTCCCTTACATTGTACAAAGGGATGCATATTGAAAAAGGGATGAGGGAATGTTTTTACAGAAAACCAGTTCAACTATTTGATACCTATAGGCTTTCCAGAATGTAGGGGAGGCATTTAGATACCTAAAATTTATGCACCTAAATTCCTCCCCAGAGGGGAGTGCAGAAATGGGAGGGAAGCATCCAGTCAGCCTTCAGGCCAGGCGATCCTGACGTGATGTTGGTCAGGTGCTCACCAGGGCAATTGGCAGCTCCCTCCTGGCCAGTCCCTGCAGAAATCAGAGTATTCAAATGCAGGGAACTCGTGCTCAGGTCTTATCCTGGCACGGAGTCAGAAATCCTGGAGGGCACCTCTGACAGCAGGAGGGCTGGGCAGGGTTCCCACAGCCCACAGTGCAGCCATAGCCTGAGATACCTACTTGAGTCTTCCTTCTTCTGAACTTCTCTTTTTAGCCAAGGGCTGGATCCTGTTACACTATAAAAGCATCCATTTCATGATAAAAGGTGATGAGAAGTAAAGTCATCGTTATGGAAGTTAATTTGATATTTAGAATACCACAGTGAGAGGGAGCAAGCTCATTACAGCACACCCTCCCACTGCAGGCAGAACCAGCAGGGAGAAGAGGCTCTGCAGAGGAGTGACTTTATGCCTCTCAATATACTGTTTTAGTGATGGTGTAGGGGTACATCTTTTAGTGTTTGAAAGAATTATATCATGTATATAAGACCATGGTTTCCTTTACTGTTAATTAAAGCAGTTTGATGACTCAACGCTAGCTGGTTCCTTTCTGTTTTTAATATAAGTGATACAATATATAATACTGGAACCATCATAAATACAGGTACTTCAATTCATAACTTATAATCAGTAAAACTCTACTTTTAATCATAAAAGTAGCTGTCCTTCAAGACCTCCTAAAATAGTCATGTCATGTAGACATAATGAGGCATTTTAGATTATTATTTTATTTAAACATTTATTTATTCATCTGTTCATTTGCTTGAAAAACATTTACTCATGATTTTATTCTTATAATTCTTGCACCCATCATGAATAATGTAGTTACATTATAGAAAGCTGCACGCATAGAAAGCTGCAGTTCAGCAAAAGTATGTCAACATTTAAGCACGTGAGTTGTCATTTTGAAGTCACGTGTATTACTGGTCAAACCACAAAGGGAGTACAAGTGATCTCAGGAGAGCTTCACCAATGGTAGAGTTTGCTTGAAATGACTGGGTAGATCTTTCAGTCAGACCTTCTGTGGCAGGACAATAAAAAGGTGACATGACATGTTTGATATATTTTCATTGGGCAAATAATAAATACTATTTTAAAATTAATTTTTTTCTACTGTCATGAACAATCTGTTCAGAAGCTCTATGTCCTTGAAGACAAGAATCTTAAGAATTCACCATATGGCCTGAATTAGATGGATTCATGTGGAATAATTCAAACCATTTACATTACTCATCTGCTACAGGAAAATATACACATATGTATGACAGAGATATATGTATTCTACCAGTGGAGCTAGGCATCAGGACTGACTTCTGAAGGGCATTCCAGA